TCGGAAGAGTTGCCATATGTGTCTAAGTCAGTTTCCACCTGACAGCCTGCTGGCTTCTTACAGAACCAGGGGTTCTGTGGGTTTTGCCCCAGCCAGCATGCTCCAGAGAGATGGAGCCTTGAGGAGATTTGTGTCTGCATGTGCAGATACATTGATACCAAGAGATTTATCGCAAGACATTGACTCATGGTAGTGGGGCTGATGAGTCTGAATTCCATGGGGCAGCTAGGAGCTGGCACTGGGGTTCATAGGTGAGCTTCCTCCTCCTCAGGGAGGCCTTAGTTTCCTTCTTAAGGCCTTTAGCTGATTGGATGAGGCCCGCCCATAGCATGGAGGGTCATCTCCTTAAAGTCAGCTGGTTGTGGGTGTCACTGCATCTACAGAGAACCTCCACGGCACACCCAGATTACCATTCATAGAGTCATTGGGGGCTGTGGCCTGGCCAGGGGGACACACGAACTGACCATCACACCGAGACCAGTCAAGGTCGGTGAGGCCCTTAAAGGCCCCAGGGCCCTCCCCCCGACACACACCCCCCGCCCCCAGCCGCCTCCCCGTGCCTCCTCTGGGGCTTCCTGCACACCTTCATTGGCCCCATCAGTCTTCTGCCAGTCACCCTTTTGCAGCCTCCACTTTATCTTCCCTGAGACATTTCCCCAGGGGTTGGAGGTCAATGCTGGGCTTGCTGCCAGACTGGCCCAGTGGCGCCCTCTTGTGGCCCATGATCACTCTGTGCCCTCAGCACAGAGTGCTGTGGGAAGAGTGGGAAGATGAGGAAGCCAGTGCACGGATTGGTGTTCATTTATCCAGTGAGCGATGCTTTCTAGTCAGCAAGGCACCACTTGGCTGCTCATAGAAGCGCTGTGAGGTTCTCCTGGGTTGTACCCTGTGTCGCCCAAAATCCTGTGCAAAACCTAAGAGCCACATCCATTCAAGTTAGGGGTCCCAACATCTTAGTTTTAGACTTATGCTTTGCCTACATTTCCTTCCTTCTGGGCATTCTCATGTGTAATGGAGTTCCTAGAAGGTTCTGAGGGTGTGGAGGCCCTGTGCTGCAGCTCGGGGCAAGCCAGGCCATGAGTCTCCACTAAGAGGCTGTTCCCTGCATGAGACCATGTGCGGGCTGGAGGGGGCTGTGTGGCGAGGCGGGTGCCTTCCCAGCTCGCTGTGAAGGATCAGGTGCTAAGTCTGCCCCTTATGACCTCCGGACCTTGTCCTTCTCCTGGGCATTGATGGGATGTGACCATCCCTCCCTGCCAGGTGTGAGAGGCCTGGCCTGGTGCCAGGCACATGGCGGACTCTGTCCTGGCCGGGCCATACCTGCGTGGCCACTCAGAGCAGAGGAGGGGAGGAGGCAGGGTGCCTCGCTCTCCGCTCCCACTTCTCCCGGTCGCTCTGTACACGCCACCTGTGAGGTTGGAAATAGAGTAGGAGGCTGGCGGGTGGAGTTGGGCAGGCTCATTCAGTGTTCCTGATGCTTGGGCTGACTCGATGTTCTGGACCCCGTGTAGGCCGACAGGGCCCGCTTCCCAGAGGCCCATGAAGCTGGCAGACTGAAGATTGAGACCTTATTTGCTCCTTAGCTCAGGGACCTTGGCCAGATCTTCCCCCTCTGTCCCTTCGCCTCCCTGCCCAGGAGATGGGCCACCCACCTCAAGGGTTGTATGCAGGTTAACATGGCCTTAGGAGAACCAGAGTCCTCCCTGCAGTCCAGAACCTGCTCACTCAGTTCCTGGTGCTAATCCCCACCTGATGTGAATGCAGTACAGCTGGCGTAGGGTCTCGGTGTCACTCAACTCCTGGGTTGGGAGTCACATCCAGTCCAGCCACCTCCCCTGTGCTGTGAGTGCCACAAGGGCTGGGTGCTGTGCGGCTGGGCCCCGGTGTTGGCTGGTTCCTTGGGGCGACTGTATGGCATTGCCAGGTTCCCCGGAGAGCCTGGCCCAACCTGTAGCACGTCCATGATCTAGGGCATCTAGGGCATCGTCTTCAGAGCAAAATGCTCACCTTTGTTTCATTTGCCGTGTACATGTGTGTTCTCTGCCCTCTCACAGACACTGAGCTGGCTGACCTGGGCCCCTCTGCCATCAGGGGTCACTTCTAAGGTGTCAGCCCCTGACAGCTGGTGAAGCGTCAGGCTTCAGAGGGGAAAAGAAAACCCCACTTGGCCGGCTGCAGCCCAGCACTCTTCAGTTGATGAAAAAAGAAAGAAAGGGAAGTAGGGTTGGCATCCTGGGCTGTTGAAGGCATTTGCATGTGCTGCAGCAGGAACCCAAATGGCAGTTTACAGAATGAGGTTTGGTGGCACTTGTCAAGGGCCTTTTTTTTTTTTTTTTTTACAAAAGAATTTAGGTTGACTTATCCTTTTACGTTCAGGTTAACTTATATCTTTTAAGGCTGGTAGCTGGTTGGAGGACGTGTCACATTATTCCCTGAGCCTCTGAAAAATGATTCTAAAGAAAAACCACATATATTTTTTTCTTTGTGTTAGAAAATCTCTTTATGACAACTAATAGTGTTTCAGGTCCTGCATGAAAAATATGAAGAAGTAGATTCTTTCTCACATAGCTTACTTAAAAATAAATAGTACCTGACATTTATCAAGTGCTTATTATTTATGAATGATTCTGAGCTGTTTACATGTAGTAACTCATTTAATCATCACAGCTACCCTATGAGGTAGGAGAGTACTATTATTTTTGCAGATGAAGAAATGGAAGTACAGAAAGTTTTAAAGTAGGCAGTGGAGTTCACCTGATGCCAGAGACACAAAACCTCACTGTACAAGTGCTTCTTCACTGGAGATTAGGAGTAACAGTGTTACATTTTCATTCTTATAGGACTTTCCCCATACCCGTGGCCCCTGCATCGGCAGGCGGACTCTCAACCACTGCGCCACCAGGGAAGCCCTGTTAAGGGCCTTTGACTGGTGTCTCTGTGATCTAGGAGCCAACTCTGCGGGAATCATTAGGGATGTGCGCAAGATTGAGCCACAGGGGTGCTTGTTGCTGTGTCACGGGGATAACTTGGAAAGCCCGGGAAGGGGCGGGCAGGTGGGCGGGCGTTGTGCACTCCCGCTTCCCAGGGCCCACAGTGTGCGGGAGCTGCTCTCGAGAAGGAAATAGGTGCTTAGAAAGCGCCCTGGGTCTGGGGTTGAGGAAGCTAGCCTCCCAGTGGGCGGAAGAGGCCACTACAACTCTGAGGAGTTGTATTTAGCTGCGCAGCAGTAACTCTTTACCCAAAATATATTTTATTCTGAGGGTTCCCTGGAAAAGAAAAATAATGAAAACAAACGTTCTCTGAAAACCCCTCTGGCTGGAGAGAGCCTGGCTAGTCAGTTTGGTTCCCGTGTGTGCCTGTTTTGTCTTGTTCTTACCTGACTGGAATACCAAGTGCTCCCCACCATTTATCCCCCACCCAGCTCGGGACTTGATTTGTCTCATCGAAGCTCCCACCTGCACCACAGACAGACCAGGCCCCGCAGGTCTGGGGGAGGGCTGCCGGCCTGACTTGGGACAGATTTCAAAGGGGATTGATTTAAGGGCTCTGGCAGGGACTCGATCTACTCGCAGCGGAACCAACACCCCCTCTTTGGCCTTAGGCCTCAGAGGCGGATGTCAGTCCCTCAGGTGCCCAGGACCATTTGGGATGGGACAAGGCTGTTTGTTGCTCCAGGTCCATCTGTTCGTCTGTGCACACAGACACATGGCAACTCCCCCTGCCTCCCCATAACCAGGAGTTGGGGCTAACACCAGATGCACCCAAACCTGCCATGCTCGGGCCAGCTGAGGGCCACGTGGCAGCTGAGACTTGGTCCACAAGGCACATGTACTGCTAAGCGGGGCCCAAGTTTCGGAAAATGTGTCGAGCTCTCTGCTGTCACAGAGAAAGCCGTGCATTCCTGAGCCATTCATGCCCAGCTGGCTGGTTTCCATGCTGGTTTCCAGTGACTGGTAGCCATTAACCAGCATCATTAACCAGCAGCAAAACAGCCTGTTAACCAGAGGATTCCATAGGCGGTGGTGCCACAGAGCTGGGGAGGGCCTGGGGCTTTAAGAGCCTTCAGTGCCAGGCTCCAAGCAAGCCTCCCCTTCCCACCGTCCTGCAGCCCCAGTAGCTGCACAGACCCTCCTCTGGGCTCTGTGTTGTGCCCCCGCCTCCAGGATTTTGGAAGTGGCCATACATACCCCTGTGGAAAAGGTTCTCACAGGGTAAAACGATCACAGTGAAGGTTCCACCACACCCCTGCCCAGAAAGAAGCACGGTTGCATCAGGACTCGTGCTGTACATACGCTCTCCTTTCCTCGCAGGAGCGATAGCCTGATGGGGACTGTGGCAGTCATGGCAGCCACTGCCCTTTGAGCAGACTGAGATGGAAAAATGCCACCTGGGGAGGCCTGGTCTCTGCCAGAGCCGGGATGTGGCGAGGGGAGAGGATCAAGGTCAGGATGGAGGAAGAGCCACCCGTGTTGGGGTTCAGGCTCCATTGGAAGTGCCTTTTGCTTTTTCTGACTTTGTGGTGCACAGTCTTCCTGCCACATCCTGGGCAACTGCATCAGTGTGTACCTGGCTGCATGTGCATCTCCCACAGTGACTCTCAGAAGCATCTGAGTGCTGGGTTTTCAGTTAATTCTATAATGGAGAACAAGAGTCACATCTGCAAAGGAATGTGCAGACCACACAGGGTGGCTACTAGTGCTGGATGAGATGTGGCACACGCACTGGAGCGTGTGTGTGTGTGTGTGTGTGTGTGTGTGTGTATACATGTGTGAGTATCACTGCCCGAGGTGAGTGATAGCAGGCAGTCTGGATTTGAATTTTTTAGATGCTGAGAATGAGCTGCTCCATCTCGTTTTGACCCTCATAAAGAAACAGGTGTCTGTCTTGAGATTAGGGCCTGCGTGGCTGGCCAGGGCCGACCTGGCATTGCCACCCTGCTGGTCTCCTCCATGGACTTTGGCCTCACCTTCCACTGGGTGTGTGTCCTGGGGGGGCCCTGCCCCCGAACTGCATTGACAGGATCACGCTGGAGGGCCAGGAGGGAGAGCTGGACAGACCCCAGCTGGGTGGCTGGGTGGAGCTGGGCCAGTGGGGCAGCCTTTCTCCTGGGGCAGGGATGTGGGGGACAGGGATGATCATTGGCCCAGGGTCATTTGCAGTCCTTGGACGGCTGGTGCAGACTGTCCGTCTCCCCCAGGCCAGGCTCTTCCTGCCCTGAGCGGCTGTGCCTGGGAGCCACTCTGTGACGCCTTGGCTCTCAGTGTGCACGGCGGGGGCCTCTCTTTGGAGCAGGGACTGGCTGTGCAGGGACTGGCTGTGCAGCATTTTGAGCCAGCCCTGGATTGTGTGACCTCCCAGCTTCCCTCATGGGTCTACACACCACCCTGAGGGCTGGGGCAGGGGAGGCGCATCCCTCCCTATGGCCCAAGCTGCCGTGTCCTTGCTCTCACGGACAAGGCTCAGACAGGCTGAGCTGCCTGCAGTCACATGTGACAGCTGGGCACAGGGCAAGGGGGATTCAGCCCTGAGCCACATTCTGTCCAGTGCTGATGAGATGTGTTAGCGTCCTCACACAACCAAAGAGGAGACGTCCTCGCCCTGGCCTGCTGGGCTGGTGCGACAGCTCAGGAACGAGGCCTGCTGCCCCCTAACCCCCAGTGCTGCCCCTTCTTGTTGACCACTTGTGACCCCACCTTGTGTGTCTGCCTAGCTGTGATGAGCTTCTGTGCTCAAGCCCAGGGATTACTTTAAGGCTGGTCACCTCTGGTGACAGGGTTCTGGAGGCCCTTCCACTGCCTGCACAGGGGCTGGCAGCCGGAATGTCAGGTTTTCCTGTCTGTGTTTTTCAGCAGCTCCTGGCCTTCACCCAGTGTGGGCAGGGGGCCAGAGGGTCGGCCTGGAATAAAGTGGCCTCTGGATGTCCTGCCTACGCTGAGCCCTGCACTTTGGCCAGGACTAGTGCTGTCTGTCTGTCTGTCAGCCAGGCCGTCTGCCTGTTCTCTCTGGCGGCTGTGGCTTTGCCTCGCTAGGCTTACAGTGGTGCTCTCTGAAGTTGGGGTTACATAAACCATGGCACACGCATCCCCTGTCATGGTTGACTGGGGGCAAGTGCTGCCCCTCTGTGAGCCCCTCGGGGTCCGTGCCTGCCTTATTCACAGACACCCAGGTGGAGTCAGTGTTTGGCCTGGAGGAGGTGGAGAGGGTGTTGCTAAGTGGGAGTGTGGGTCAGGGCATCTCGACCTCTCAGCATGCCCTGCCCGCTGCTGACGCCCACCTATCTTGTCTCATCTCATCTTTACGGTTGTCCTGAACCAGATCAGCCCTGTTTGGTGGGGAACTGAGTCATGGCCCAACTTGGGGTGGGGTCCCTGCCTCTGGTTGTGTGCTGAGTGCTCTGTGCTCCTCAGACTGAGTTGCCATTGCTGCTTAGAAACCAGACACAGGACCCCACCCCCCTGCCACTGCATGAGAACCCAGGACCCACCAGCAGCCTGTCCATGGTGACACGCTGGTCCTGTCACTGTCGGGAAAACAAAGGTGCGTTTCAAAGGAATGTGGTTGCACATTCCCACTGTAAGGGGCATGCTTCAGGGATGGGCCTGGGTCCTGTGCTGGCCCATCCTGTGGTCCCCTCTGTGCTGTGGACCTACCGGTGATGTCCCCCCCTCTCCACGCAGCACATCTCCATCCCCCAGCCTGACTGCCCCACGGAGCCGCGGACGTTCTCCTTCTACCTCTCCAACATCGGCCGTGACAGCCCCCAGGGCAGCTTTGACTGCATCCAGCAGTACGTCTCCAGGTGAGCCTTGCCCAGGCTGCCCCAGGTCTCCCAGTGGGCAGACCCGCCTCCCTCCACTTCCACTGTGGCGTCCCCTGCCCCAGCCTGCTGTGCAGATGTTTACCCACCACCTCCAGCCCCAGTGCCCCTTGTTCCCCTTCTCAAGTGAGCTACCCTGGCTCCTTACAGTGTGTCCAGGGCACAGGTCTAGGTCCTGGCGTGCCACCTGTGGCCCAGGGACCTGGGTTCCCTTGTTTCTTTCGGGTCAAGATGTGCCTTGAAGAAACCCTGTTGCCCAAGTCAGCACCAAACTCCATTTCTTGGACATGGGGGTGGTGACCATCTCTCCTGGTCATCCCAGGTGCTCATCTCGGCTTCTGGCCCCTTGTCTTGCAGCCATGGGGATGTCCACCTGGACTGCCTGGGCAGCATCCAGGACAAAATCACAGTGTGTGCCACCGACGACTCCTACCAGAAAGCACGGCAGAGCCTGGCACAGGCTGAGGAGGAGACACGAAGTCGAGGCGCCATCGTCATCAAGCCCGGAGGCCGTTACCTGGGTGAGGATCAGGGGCCTGGGGCTCCACCTGTGGGGGTCTTGCACCTGCTGGGCAGCTGTTGGGGGAGCAGGAGAGACTCAGGGCCCATCCAGACCAGGAGCGGGAGTGATGGGTTGACAGAGGTAGGATGAGCTGGGTCAGTGTTGGGTCAGGACAGACGGTCCTTCCTGGGTGGCATCTGCTGCCTTCTGAACCCAAGATGGACTACTAAGGGACCCGAGAATTCCAGGCATTCTGAATCTCAGGGCTCCTCTCCCAGGCTGTAGCCTCAGGGACCTCTACCCATCATGGAGACTCACCCTACATGAAGCCAGAGCTTCGGTCTGTCCTCCAGCTGCCACCCCTGCCCTCACCTGCCCAGATGTCTCCTTCCCAAGACTGACATGGCCGGGGCAAGGTGCAGATGACGAGATGCACCCTGTGGCGGGTGGCCTGCTGCTGTGTTGGGGCCAGCGAGGGACCGTAGGGTGGAGACCAGGAAGGAAACGCATTGATCCCTGTTCACTGGGAAGGCTCTGGCCCCTCAGCATCTGCTTGGAAACAATTTCAGTGAAGTCGAGACACTGACAACATTAAAAGTATAGGGAGAAGAGTACTATCCATGTATCCACTTAGAAAGCCCCGCCATCTTGCTGTAGGCTTCCCGCCTCCTGGGTGCAGATGGAGTCAAGGAGTCATTGGGATGCGTTGCCAGGCAGGAAAACCCTGAGAGAGGTGTGAAACGGCTTACAGCAAGGGAGAACCTTGATGGCTTTGGGGGTTTTTTTTCTTCTTTAAGGAAAAGCAAGAGCGTTTCCCACTGCTCCAAAGAGTATGTGATTTTCCTTGCTTGGCAGTGGGGTTGGCTCTGAATGAAACCCCAGACGGTGCAGGAATCTGTCCTGCCTGTCAGCGCTGGGCCCCAGTGGATGTGGCCGTAAGTGACCAGGGAGCCTGGGCCCTGGGTTGTAAGCTGCCCAAGAGGTGCCAGCCGGAATCTAAAAGGGCTTCAGAGCCTGTTTTTGCTTCAAGATGCAAAAGCGGACATTTGTACACATTTTAATAAATTTTGGGTGGGTCTTTCAGCCAAAAACTTGGTCCAAATTTCGTCTTACGGTGCCATTTCGGGTACAGTGAAGGTTTTTGCAGTAGTTTACATTCTGGTGGAAACGCTCGTGTCCTGGCCTCTTAAGCCACTGACGTGCACGTCCTGGGTGTGTCAGGCCTCTCCCCCCGCCCCATGTCGGCCCGTCAGATGGGGCCTCTGAGGACGAAGTCTAGCCCTGAGGATTCTAAAAGCACTTCTTCCCTGTGTTCATTTGACAAATCAGATTTGAGGGATACGTGCAAAAGGAAGTCGTCGTGGAGAGGTTTCTTGGCCCAAGGATTCAAGATGTGCGCTGACTTTGCGCAGCAGTCCTCATTCTTGCAGTGGCAGGAGCGCCGTCCAAGGTGGAGTTAATGACTTAGGAGTGGAAGCACCCTCCCTCGAGAGCAGTGCTGGAGGCTCCATGGAGGATCCCCTTGTACGTCTCTGTTTGCAGCAAGAGGGTGGGGGATCGGCCTGCTGCCCCTGGGCCTCCAAGCACAGCCAGGTCTGCCCAAGCAGCACTTGCCAGGGCCACAGCTGGGGAGCTGCTCACACCCTGGGGTCTCTAGAGCAGCTGCCCAAGCGGCCCTGACGCCTTTATTTTCCTTCTTCTTTTTCATAAAAAAGAATGGCAGATCTCATGGGACCAGCGTAGTGCTGTGAAGTTCAGTCTCTGGGTGCCTGCCTCTGGCAGTTATGGGACTCCCTTGTTAACATCAACCCCCTCTCTCCCCATATGGGTCAGGTGTTTTGGGTCCCCAGGATGTAGGCTGCCCATGATGAAGTCAGTTAAGGCTCTAAGCCCGCTTCTGTTTCCTGTAGCTCCCGCTTCTGAGACTGTGGGGCCCTGCAAGTGCCCACTGAGCTGTTTGTGGTCAGCAGGTGGCAGTCTCGGCCACCCAAGGGCCCCACTGAGCAGGTGGGGCTGGACTAGGTTTGAATTGCCTTCCTCTTGGGCTTAGTGAGAGCTTGGGGCTGTTGGCCATCGGCCATCCACGTGTGTCCACGAGCTCGCTCAGGAACTTGGCGTCGGCCCCGGGCAGTGGGACACGGTGGCCACTCCCTCACCCCTTCCAGTCCCTAATGCCTGGCTCTTATTGCAGGCAAAAAGGTTCAGTTTCGGAAACCGGCCCCGGGGGCAGTGGATGCTGTGCCCTCCCGGAAGCGGGCAACCCCCATCAACCTGGCAAGCGCCATCAAGAAGACCAGCGCTGGCAGCGTGAGCGGGGGCAGCGGGGTGTCTCAGAGGCCCTTCCGTGATCGGGTGCTGCACCTCCTGGCGCTGAGACCCTACCGGAAGGCCGAGCTGCTGCTGAGGCTGCAGAAGGACGGCCTGGCCCAGGCGGACAAGGACGCACTGGACGGCCTCCTCCGGCAGGTGCGTGCTTGCCCTGGGCTGGCCTGGGCTGCGCATGTGGCACTCACTCTCCAGGGCCCTCCTCCTTACCAGCTGCGGACACACAGGCAGTGGGCGTAGCACAGGGGATCCAACTTCAGTCGCACAAGGTTTTTAGAATTGAACGAAGTCTCAGGAACCCACAAGCATGAGTTAGCAAGAGCTCAGGCTTCACAGTCAGACAGCAAGGGCCTCCTTGTTGCTCATCAGTTGTGGCTCCAGGCAAGGGGCTTCATGTCTGGACCCTCAGGCTTCCATCTGCGACTGGGGCATGACCACAGCACCTCTCTTGGGGTCAAGAGCTAAGCGGGCAGGAACGTGGTGCCAGCAGGTGGAGCCTGCTGTTAAGCAGCTGGGGCCTTGGAGCAAGGGCGGTGGCCCCAGCACCTTCCTGAGGCCCTACCCTAGAGGAGGCAACTTGAGGACCCCTGAGAAGGTGAGTGGCTCACTCCGGCTTCACCACATCAGCTGGGCCATGTGGATACCACTTTGCCATGAAGTGGGGATGGGCCACCTCAGAGCGTTGTGAGGATGGCACAGCCAGCAGCAGTCACGCCAGCATCCTGAGGAGGAGGCGTGGCCCTGCCTCAGGTACTCTGGGCACTTGGATGGTGCCTCCTATAGCAGAGAGTACATGCCGTGACCATCACTAGCTATGTCTGAGGATGAGTTTCAGATTTACTGAGTTCTTCAGCAGGTCTCTGGGCACTTCTCTTCCCCATCCCCAGTGCAGTCCAAGGCTGCTGTGACCACACAGCACATTTGTTGGGAGGATGTCGGCATGGCTCTCATCCCCCCGTGCTCTGGCTGGGGTCCCTGGGTTACCCATTATCCCCCAGGAGTTCAGGGCAAAGGGAACGGGTGAAGAGGGAAGAGAGGCCTCTGTGACATTCCCCTGCATTCCGAGGCACAGATGCAGGTCTGGGCAGGGGCTGGGCCCCATCCACAGAGCAGGTGAAGGGTGCCTCCCCCATCCTTCACCCGAGGAGAATCCTCTTGTGTCCTGAGGGCTGAGGTGCTCACCAGAGACTCACGTTACTGTCAGGAGCGCCCATGTCCACTCACTGGGTGCCTTTTTGCAGATTTGGCCTCCTGAGCTGCTGTCCCCCACGTGGAGGTCATGCTGGCAAGGACTGAGCAGCACTGTTTCTCCCTGCAAGCTTAGGAGTTGGCTCGGGGCCTATTAGAAGATAGATGCATGGCTCTGGAGCCCAGAAGTTTTCTTTGGCAAGGCGGCTTGCCAAAGCACCCAGAAAGCTCTAGAACCAGGAATGACATTCCCAGGGCACTCGTTTCCTTGGAAAGTCGCGTGCCGGCCTTGCCCCTGGGAAATTGGGGGAAGTACATGGGAGGCCCTTTCCCGGGGCTGGGGGCCACCCAGAGCTGCCTCCTGCAGCACGGGGTGACTGCAGCAGGGCTGAAGGGAGCTGGACAGAGTCATCAGACGTGAGCCAGGACTGGAGACAAGTGCGGCAGCCATGCCCACCCCTGGCTGTGCCCGTAGCTCGCATTGCCATCCAGCCAGGCCCTCAGCCCCTGGTATAGCGTTCTTAGAAACGCCCTTGCTCCCGCTCTCTAATCTTGTTCTGTTTGTGCCCAGAATAAAAAAGCACAATGCAGAACGTGACCCTTAGCTGACCGAGCACTTGATTACACCTGAGATTTACCCACTGAGCAGCCCTCAGATGCGGCAGGGATGCCAGGCTCAGTTCTCTGGAGAGAGAGGGGTCTGGTGGTTCTGACTTAGGTCTGCCTGGGGCACTGCTCCATTTTTAACCCCTGTGACATTCTCATTGCTCCTGTTCCTTTCCTGGGACCAGAGAGGCACCGTACTGGGCTCCAGCTTCTCCAGCGGACTTGGCTTTGGCAGCTCCTAGAGGGTGGCCCAGCCGGTGTCTTGGGATAGAGCATCGTCCTCGTGCCCGCCCGCTCTGATTTCTCCTAAACTGCCCCATCTGCCTTGTGCTTCTGTGTTTACTACCCAACTTGTTCTCCGCAGCGGTGCGGGGGGCAGGAGGACCCCCGCCAGCTTCGGGATGGGAAGGCGTCAGGGGCTGTGCCTCACCCAGGATGCTCATTTCCAGCCCCCGCAAGTGACCAGGGACTCTGATGAACAGCACTAACAAAACCACACTGCTCAAAGGCGCCTTCTCTATTCCTTCTGTGAAAACAGAAAAGATTTAAGGCGTTCCATCTTCCTGGTGGGAGTGTTGACGGGTGGGTGGCTCTTCTGGAGAGCATTTTAGCAAAACGTATCAAGAACCATAAAAATGTTCAGAGCCTTTGACCTACTAATCCCACTTCCGGGAAGCTGGCTGAAGAAAACCATCACCAGCATGGAAAAACCTGCACAAGTGACATCTGTTTATGCTGCAGAGAAACTGGAAACGGCGTCAGCATCCAACAAAGGAGAAACGTTTGAGTCCATCACAGTGTAGCCACTTGGTGGAATATTACTCAACCATTAAAAAATGCTCCTTGTGAAAACTGCTGTGATGTGGAGAACTTGTAGTCTCAGTGATAGCGAAAAACAGCGTGCCAGCCACACGGCTACACACGCGTGTTCTGGAGACCATGGTGCCCAAGGGAGACACTCAGGGAAGTGCCCGCCTCAGGTCAGGGGCCTGAATTCCGTCAAGCGTCTTACGGCAAACGTTTTAAATCCATCTTCGCAAAGAGTCTTGGAGACAAGCTCAGCTTTTGTTAACCAGCAGCAGCAGGGCTGGCTGGTTGCAGGGAAGGTGGGCTCAGCCTGGACCCTGGAGGCACCCCTCACCCAGCACCCCAGTCTCGGCCGACTCTGCCACAGGAGGTCTGAATCCGAGAGCGGGTATGTCAGTCCATCCGGCTGCTGTAACAGAATACCATAGACTGGATGGCTTATACACCACAGACATTTACTTCTCACAGCTTTGGAGTCTGGGAAGTCCAAGATCAAGGCGCTGGCAGATTGGGTGTCTGGTGAGGGCATGCGCCCTGGTTTATAGACAGCTGCCTTCTTACTGTCATCACAGGGGGGAAGGGGTGAGGGAGCTCTCTGGGTTCTCCTTTATAAAGACACTAACCCCATCATGGGGGCTCCACCCTCATGACCTAATCACCTCCCAAAGGCCCCACCTCTGAATACCATCACCTTAGATTAAGGGGGTTAAGATTTAACATGGATTTCGGGAGGACAAAAATGGTTCAGTCCATAGCAGGGGGATGGGCTGGTGATGGAGTCTTGGGAGTATAGATGGCAGCCTCCCCTTTTTGGAGCCAACCTGGCCTCCAGCAGCTGTAAGACGTGTGTATATGGACCTGCTGCCCTGACCCTTCTGCACCCCAAGGGTTGCTGCGCTGGCATGCAGGGGAGCTGTGGGGTGAGGTGTTGGCTCGGGGAGGGAGTGTGCTGTCCTCTTTCTCCTTTCACGTCTGTCTCCGCCTCTCCCTGCCCCCTCGCAGATGCTTTCAGGAACATCTGTCTCTCTCGGGCTTCACACAAGGTGACACCAGCTCTGTCTTGCAGGTAGCCAACGTGAATGCCAAGGATGGCACGTGCACGCTGAAGGACTGTGTGTACAAGGATGTGCAGAAGGACTGGCCCGGCTACTCGGAGGGAGACCAGAAGTTGCTGAAGCGGATGCTCATCCGGTAACTGCCTCCCTGCCCCTGAGCGAGTTCCCAGACCCTGGGCCTGGGGAATATCTCATCCCAAGGATGCTGGGGGGGCCTCATCTGGCCCCAAAGGCTGCAGGGCCCAAGGGAAAAGGCCAGCCGTTACCGAGTGGGGTAGAGAGTGTGAGTCACCGTCTTGAACACCAGAATGCCCGGACAGAAGGCCCCAGACCGTTCCTTCTGCCCCCTCTTGCCCTTCCTGTCAAGGTTGCTTCCAAAACCTGCACATCCCCACAGGCATCTGCGGCAGGCCCTCTTTCTTTTTTTTCTTCTTCTTTTTTTTTTTTTTTTTGTGGTACGCAGGCCTCTCACTGCTGTTGCCTCTCCCGTTGCGGAGCACAGGCCCTGCGGCCATGGCTCACGGGCCTAGCCGCTCCGCGGCCTGTGGGATCTTCCCGGACTGGGGCACGAACCCATGTCCCTTGCATCGGCAGGCGGACTCTCAACCGCTGCGCCACCAGGGAAGCCCCAGGCCCTCTTTCTTAAAAAGAGCCTCTCAAGAAAGAGAAGCAGAGAGAAACAAAGCAAAACTCCCCACAGACATGATTAAGCAGCATTAATTAAATGCATCCCCTCTCTGGTTAATTGGGACCCAAAGTCAGGAGTGGCCACGGTAGCTCTAGGGAGAAGTGGGTAAGTAGGCCCCCATCTGAGGCAAGCAATTAATGATTTCCTTCTCAATTGATGCCTGGCTCAGGAGCCGGGCTGTGAAGTGAAGTGCTGTTCAGAACAGCCTGATATGCTAATTAGCCCTTAAGTGATTTCTCAGGGACTTGGAGCTATTTAAGAAGGGTTTTGGGTTTTTTTTTTTTTTTTTTAAAGTTTAGCCGTTTAAAGCAGTAATTGCGTCTGGAAAGCAGAGCTGAGTTGGGGCCAGTCTAGGTGAACCCTGAGTTCCTCCTTGGCCCTGCGGGACACTCACCTGCTGTCCCAGGGTCACTGCTCTGGCTGTCTGGACGTCTCTGGGTGCTCAGGGAGGCTGAGAGGAGATGTTCTCGGCAGAAGGTGCCCCCCCGGCCCCCAGTGCCCTCTCTGGGGGTCCTCTGTTGCCCCAGCAAAGCACATCCTGGGTAGGCAGTCACCTCCTGCAGGTGTTCACATCTATCACGTTTTTTGGCAGAGGGTTGAAATAGTCACTTACACCCACCCTAGTGCTTTGAGGTGGCCAGGGGCACATGGGGGCGCACCTTGAGGCTGCTTCCACTCTTCCTTCCTTCAGAGCCTCTCACTGGGTGCCTCTCGCTGATCTCAGACCCCAAGGGTCTTGGCCTCCCAGAGCTCCCGGGAAGGGGTGTGGCCGAGAGCAAGCAGCCTGTCTGTGTGTGAATGGGTGTGGTTTGTAGGAAACAGCGCCTGGGCTGAATCTTGAGGGGTGTTAGGTGGGAGGTTCCTAGGGATGCGGACTCTGGAGCTCAGTATAATGCCAAGCTCATGCTTCCTCCCTTGTTTTCACTCTGGGCTGTCTTGATGCTCTTCTCTCCGTCTGCGTGGGCCAGCTGGGAGAGCAGCCTTGCTGCCGGAAGCCTCTTGGGAAGCTGACAGCTCCTACTGCCCTTGGAAGCTTGAACTGATTGGCACGCAGAGGTCAGGGTCAACATCCCTGATGGCCGCAGCCACACAGAGGTTACTCCAGGCGCCCCTCATCTGCACAACGTTTTTTTCTTGTTTAGGTTGTTCCCTCCCTGAAGAAAGCCCCAGTTATAGCAGGTCTTGATGCTGTGGTCGGTCTCACGGCAAGAAGGAAAAAAATAGGATCTTGGGGTGTTTCTGTTGTTACAGGCAGGGTGTGGGGCCTTGTGTCACCCCAGGGGCTATAACACCTCCTTTTCCTACAGCTTGTTCTAAACTCATACCTGAGTTAAACATGCTCATGGTTCCAGGGTCTGCCTGGGCCCCCGTGGCTTTGCTCTGCACAGGCATGCACTCCCAGCATCTCGGCTGTTTATTTGGATGCTTCCTCTGTGCTTTTAGTCCCCATGTGTGTAGCTGCTTGGGCCTGGCCTGTCACAGGAGGAGTCTGTGGACGTCGCAGTGCAGGATGAGGCCTCAACTCCACCTGGCCCTGAAATCAGTCACCCCGACCTGCCCGTGTCCTGGCCTCACCTCCCCCAGGGCACAGCCTAGACAACCCGAGCCTCAGTCCGTCTCGCACGCATCATGCTTTCCCTGGAGTTGGTAACCTGCTTGGCCGAGTTGTTACTTTCTCTGCTCAGCTTTCTGTGTCCTTCATGTCCAACCCCAAGCTCCCCGTGGTTGTCCCGTGGCCTTTTATCACTATCGGGGGATCAGGGGTTCCACCGGGAGCTGCCCCCGTCCCTTGTGGGTGGGTCCTTCTGTCATATCTTCACACCTGGGTGGCCGTCACACTGAATTGGCAGTTGGCGAAGTCTAGTCTTCCAGACTGGAAGGAACTTTCCCTCCATGTTGAAGACCTGGCCCCCGGAAAGCCACGGAGGTTCCCTTCCTGGCGCTGTGTCCATCTGCGTGGTCACAGGGTGGCCTGGCGGGTGCTCTGGGACCGGCGCCCCAGCCCTTGCAGCCTGAAAACTTGCCTCGTCCTTCTTTCCATCCTGGGCGTGGTTGTGAGAGGCCTCACTGTCCTCCCTCACCCTTCCTCTCACTCTGCCACTGGGGGCTGTGCTGCACCGTTCACCATTGTCTTCCCTGTTGTTTCTTTTAATTTCTTCTACTTTTGGAAGATTTCTTCAGCTTCTCCCTCTGTCTCTTTTTTTGCCATTGTTGCTAGTTCCCAAGGTTCAGCTACCACTTCTCTCTAGTTCCAAAGCAGTCACCCCAAAACGAAACCACACGTTAACAGTCACTCCCCGTTCCCCCTCTCCCAGCCTCACTAATCTGCTTCTTGTGTTGATGGATTTGCCTGTTCTGGATGTTTCATATAAATGGGATTATGTGCTCTAGCCTTTTGTGTCTGGCTTCTTTCACTTGGATTAGGTTTTTGAGTTTCATCCACACTGTAGCATGTGTCAGAGCTTCACTCTTTTTTATGGCCAGGTAGTATTCTATTGTGTGGGTATTTTGTTTATTCATTCATCTGTTCATGGACACTTGGATTGTTTCCACCTTTTCATGATTATGGATAGTGCTGCCATGAGCATTCATGTACCAGGACACGAATATAGCTGACAGAGATTTTCAGTTCTCTCAAATATACACTGAGGAGTGGAATTGCTGAGCCATATGGTAATCCTGTGTTTAACTTTCTGAAGAACTGCCAAACTTTTTCTCAGTGGCCACGGCATTTTACATTCCCACCAGCAGTACACAGTTCCAGTTTTCCTACATCCTCACCAACACTTGTTATTTTCCATTTTTTCGATTCTAGCCATCCTAGCAGGTGTGAAGTGGCATCTTATCATGGTTTTGATTTGTGTTTCCCTGGATGAATAATGATGTTGAGCATCTTTTCATGTGCTTATTGGCCATTCGTATGTCTTCTTTGGAGAAATGTGTATTTAAGTTCTATGTCTTTCTAAGGCTATTAAGGATGGTGTTTTTCTCGTGGATTTAAAGTTTTCATCCCCTTACAGAGTCTCTCTTTCTTTTCAAATGCATTTTCCTGTCTATCTTGGGGTCTGACATTTGTTGCCTGGAAGCCCGGGTGCGCAGCCTCTTCAGGACTTTCCCATAGGCAACTCAGCCTCCTCAGGAGCACTGCTGAGGTGTTTCTGAATCCCCCATAGGCTCCTCTGTTTCCTCTTCTCCCAAGGCCACGTCTCTGTCCATCCTGTGTGGCCCGAGCATCCTGGAGAAGGCCTGGGCTCCTTCACTCCTGAACATGCTGTGGGCTCCCTTCCCTGCTGCCCCACAGCAGGCCGGGACCCAGAGCAGGGCTCTGGGGGAACAGCCTGGCAGGGGCCCCTCTGCCGAGGTTCCTGAGGCACCCATCCTGGGCCCGTGGGGTTCTGTGGCCTGGGACTCCATTTTCTTGGATCCTATAGGACAGTCACCACTTGTACTTCTGCATTGAATATCATTGCTCATTTCTCTCTCTCTTTTTTTTTAATAAGTGTATTTTATTTACTTTTGGCTGCGTTGGGTCTTCGTTGCTGCACGTGGGCTTTCTCTAGTTGTGGTGAGCAGGGGCTACTCTTTGTTACGGTGCGCAGGCTTCTCACTGCGGTGGCTTCTCTTGTTGCAGAGCACGGGCTCTAGGCGTGTGGGCTTCAGTAGTTGTGACACATGGGCTCAGTAGCTGTGGCGCACGGGCCTAGTTGCTCTGCGGCATGTGGGATCCTCCCGGACCAGGGCTGGAACCCGTGTCCCCTGCATTAGCAGGCGGGATTCTTAACCACGGCGCCACCAGGGAAGCCCCCTCATTGCTCTCTTTTTCCCTTTCTCTTTTATGCCTTTTTAGTGGGGGCTTGAAAGAGAGTGGATGTAAATACCTGGTTCTCTGTCTTTAACCGAAAGCTCTGGTTGCTTCCATGTGGCTGGAGCAGCAGACTTGCCCTCAGCCTCGTGGATTGTGTTGCCCCAAGTGCCTGCATGTTTCGGGCCCTTTTCCTGTGGCTCTGCTTGCACTTCAGGCCACCGTGGAGGGGACAGCAGCAGTTGTCTAGAGTGTGGCTGTTGGTCAGGGGCTGGGCTCTGCTTGTCACTGGTTAGAGCAGCGCAGACATGGCCCTGGACCTCAGCTCAGCTTCCCTGCAGGGTGTAGAGGGCCCTCGGCACCACTCCCAGCACCTGGCCAGCTGCCCGGGCTCCCGTGAAACGCACAGTCTCTGGGAGTGCAGGAGGCTAAGCGGAGAGCCCCCTCCCCCCCGCCGAGCCGGGGTGACTGTCGGGGGCCTCCATTTGTGTGTCAGGCATTGGGGTGTTTCTTCTCTCTTCCCTGGCTACATTGTTGTGCTCGCGTCCTGCCGGACTGGTGGCCACCCCTGCCATCCCTGGAGGTGCTGTGGCCTGGGCTCCCAGGACGATGGGAGCTGAATCTGGGAGGCCCTCCCACCACAGACCAGGGCATCTCAGTCCTCTTCTGTGTTCTCTGTTTCTGCAGTGAGTGTTGTTTATTAGGATGACTGTTGTTTTTAAAAGTGAGGACCAGCACCCCAGTGACAGCAGCTCCCCTGGGGACACAGCATGGATCTTGAGTGTCTGGTCAGTTTTATATGGGTCCTTGGTCTCCATGGTAATGGGAGTCTAGATGAGTGGGTGGTCATCTGACCCTTCTCTGGGCGCAGAACACCCAATGGGACAGTCCTTCTGGCAGTGAGGCCGGGACCTTGGCCACAAGGCAGCTGTGGATAAACCCAGGGTGGAATGTGCTCAGGCTGCTCTCTTCCTGCCGGGCCCTGGTGTACCCATCACACTCAGCCCTGCTCTGGTTCTGCTCTGGAGTCAGGCCCTCCCCAAATCACTGGGCGTGAGTGGGACAGCGTGGTGTCAGTGCAGAGACAGGTGGGCGTGTGTGCGCCCCACAGGGCACTGCTGAGGATCCCTCCAACCCACCCTGCTTCTCCTTTGCAGGAAGTTGTGCCAGCCACAGAGCTCAGGCGGCCTCCCTGGGGACCTTGCGGCCAACAGTCCTCCAGGCGAGCATGGGAGCTCAGCCTCACCCCCTCAGGTAGGAGCGTGGTGGGGAGGGAGGGTGGGTCTCACCGGAGCCAGTGGGCCTGACCTGACCTTGGTTCTTACGGAGCCTGTTGGGCTTTCAGCTCAGGGCTGGCAGGCTTTCTTGAATGAGTGAACAGCTGGCTGGGGGTTGGGTGTCCTGGGCCTGGGACTTGGTTATGGTTCCTTGGTTTACCTGTGGGTATGTGGCCGAGGGAGGGCAGGCTGCTTGACCACACTGAGCCTCCTGCTTTCT